AAGGGCAGTACAGGACCAAAATAACCAAGTAGATTCACTGAAAACAAAGAACATAAAATAATAGTTGAATTAACACAAAGCTGCATAAGCGTGTACTTTATAGGGAATACTGGAGATTATGTGTTAAAAGTCAGTCTAATAACTATTTTAAAAATTATTTTAACATCTGAAAAAAATTGTTTTCCAAAGAGTATGGGCCTATAAAGAGGAGAAATTAGTTCATTTGTGCTTAAAGGCCACAGTGACATGATATTTCGTTCTCCATCAAACAAGTGAGCAAAAAATAAACTCTTAATCATGTGATGAGGGAGTAAGCCATGAAAATAATCTTAAAAGCTATGATGACTCAAGTTTAAACACACACACAGAGGAAAAGACTGTTCTTTTACAGTGAACTTTAAAAGATTCACAATTCCTTCATTCTTCCATTTGCATCTTCATAAAGGATACTGTACTACAGCACATAAGAGTTTTCCATATAGAAAGAAATTTTGTGTGTGGGTGTGGGTGTTGGCTCTCACAGCTGTAAGAATGACTGTAATTTATCTATTTTTCCTAAGCAAAGTCCAAACTTCACTAAATGTAAAACAGATGTCATGGATTTCTTTCATAAAATGTTGGCAGTAACCCATTTCAATTTCAACTAAAGTAGTCAGGAAACAAAAATAACTCCAAATGTCTCCTTCTCAAGTATAAAGCGAACATAAAGATAAATTTAGGATAAAAATTCCAAGATTTTATTCTAACAATAAATTCCTGGGACTATTAAATCTAAAATTAGGTGACCATCAGAAATTAATTCACAAAAATATTAACAGTCATTCTCACATATTACTGGTGGGAATACAAAACAATATGGTTATTCTGGAAAATGGTTTGGCAGTTTATTATAAATTTAAACATACTCTTATATGACTCAGCAATTCCACTTCTGGTTATGTACCCTAGAGTAAAGAAAACTTATATTCACACAAAAACCTCTAGTGAATGTTCACAGCAGCATATACATGTGTGTTTGTGTACATAATATACATATTTATAGCATATGAATGTAGCAGCATGAATGCATGTGTGTGTGTATATATATACACATATATAAAGATAATATGCTATATTATACACTATAATATGCTACATAAATGTATATATAGGCCAGGCATGGTGGCTCACGCCTGTAATCTCAGCACTTTGGGAGACCGAGGTGGGCAGATCACGAGGTCAGGAGATTGAGACAATCCTGGCCAACATGGTGAAACCTTGTCTCTACTAAAAACACAAAAATTAGCTAGGGGTGGTGGTGCATGCCTGTAATCCCAGCTACTTGGGAGGCTGAGGCAGGAGAATCGCTTGAACCAGGGAGTCGGAGGTTGCAGTGAGCTGATATCACACCACAGCACTCCAGCCTGGTGACAGGGCGAGACTCCATCTAAAAAAAAAAAAAAATGTATATATAACTATAATATGCTATATTCACCAAAAACTGAAAATAACCCAGATATCCTTCAATGGGTAAATGAATAAACAAACTCTGTTACATCCAACAAGGAAATATGAAAACACAAGAAATAAAAAGCATTAAAAGCAAGATAAAGATCTCCTTAAAAGGGCCCCCTGGCAAACAGTACTTCAACAGAGGAAAGACTCTGCTAAGTTGCAGATAGGCTAATAGAACTTATCCAAACTGAAACACAAAGAAAAAAAGGCATGAGAGAAATAGAGCTGAGCATCCAAATGCTGGGACAATATGTCAAACAGTCTAACTTATGTGTCATTAGAATGACACAGGGCAAAATAAATACTTTAAAAGACATGGTTGATAATTTTCACACAAATATACCCTAAACATAGCACAAACTACAAAAACGCAAAATTAAGAGAAAGATTTAAGGCTGTCCCAAGTACACACACAAGACACACTAATACAGAAAAATAAAGACAACAATCATCGCAGACTTTTTGTCACAACCTATGCAATCCAGATTATGAAAGAGTATGTTTAAATACATATACTTTTTAAAAGCCTATCTACTCAGAATTCTATGGCCAGCAAAAATATCTTTCAAAAAAATGAAGGCAAAATTAAGACCTTTCCAGAGAAACAAAAGCTGATAGACATTACGGCCAACAGACCAGCACAGTAAGAAATGTTAAAGGGTCGGGTGTGGTGGCTCACGCCTGCAATCCCAGCAGTTTGGAAGGCTGAGTTCGGTGGATCACCTGAGGTCAGGAGTTTGAGACCAGCCTGATCAACCTCGTTTCTACTAAAAACACAAAATCAGCCGGGTGTGGTGGTACACACCTGTAGTTCCAGCTACTTGGGAGGGTGAGGCAGGAAATTCACTTGAACCCGGGAGGCAGAGGTTGCAGTGAGCTGAGATTGTGCCATTGCACTCCAGCCTGGGCAAAAAGAGTGAAATTCTGTCTCAAAAAAAAAAAAGTTAAAGAAGTTCTCAAGGAAGAAGGAGCATAGCAGTTAGAAATCTGAATCAATATAAAGAAATGAAGAATGTTGGAAATGAAAAAATGAAGATAAATATACAAAAACATGTTTTATCAGCCAGGCATGGTGGCTCACACCTGTAATCCTGGCACTTTGGGAGGCCATGGTGGGTGGATCATTTGAGGTCAGGAGGTCAAGACCAGCCTGGTCAACGTGGTGAAACCCTGTCTCTACCAAAAATGCAAAAAAAGAAAAACAAAAAAAAAAGAAAGAAAGAAAATTAGCTGGGCATGGTGGCTGGATGCCTGTAATCCCAGCTACTCAGGAGGCTGAGGCAGGAGAATTGCTTGAACTTGGGAGGCGGAGGTTGCAGTGAGCCGAGATCATGCCATTCCACTCCAGCCTGGATGACAGAGTAAGACTCTATCTCAAAAACACAAAACAAGTTTTGTCTTATTTTTAATTGCTTTAAAAAATAATTGACAGTCTAAGGCAAAAATAGTAACAATGCCCTGAGACATTTGAAACATGTAAAAGTGTATGACAATTGTATGACAATAATAATACAATAGTTGAAGGAAAATAAATGGAAAGTATACTGCTGTTCTTATAGTATATGTGAAATGTTTACTATTTAAAGTGAAGGTAGACTGTGATAAGGGAAGATCAAGGTAGAAGCAAGAGTCAATAAAATAATGACTAAATATTTTTCAAAACCTAAAGATACCAATCCTGTTCAAAAAACTACAGATCTATAATGAAAAACTAAATTCATAACTAGGCATATAACATTTAAATTGCATAACAGCAGAGATAAAGAAGAAAGAAACTCCAAGAGAAGTAACTTACACAATGTAATTGAATCTGGACTAAAATCCAGGTCTTCTGACCTATGTTCAGCACCCTTTCTAAAATACCAGTCACTCTCCACAAAATGGGAACCCAGTCTAAAACATTGCCCAAGAAGCTGAGATTAAGTATTTATTAAGTAACGATAATATGCTCATTATTACAGGAAGAGAGATATCTCACTATTCTTCCTTTTGTATTTCCAAATAGCAGATGCTACTTCCAAACCATGGTCTGAACAAAAGGAAATATGTGATCTCTGCCATGATACAACACTTTTCTTGGTATTCTCCCTACTTCTCAAATAGTTCCTTTTCTAATTCCTTTGCAGGATCCTTCCCTTCTATTCAGTCAGTATATTTTAGAATTCCTCAAGGCTCAGTTCTAGGGCCTTTTCTAGTTTCACTCTGTATTCCTTCATAAGCAATCTCATTCCTGCTCAAGGCTTTAATTCCTACCCAATAGAAGATAATTCCAGTGTTCTATATCTCCCACCCCCACCTCTTCTGTGCTGCCTCTTTCTCATTTTTATTTCAGTGTTTTCAAAGGCACTCAAGTCCCATATGTCCAAAATAAAGTCATAATCTCACCTGACAATGGTACTCTTCCAACCTTCCCTTAACAGCAGACAGAACCACCATAATCAAAGAGTCATCTCCTGTGAATGACCTCTAATCCCTTTTACTCAAGCAATCCCACGCCCACTGATTTTTACTCCCTAATTATCCCCCAAATCCATCTAGCTAAGTACCATCATTTCAGTCCAAACTACAAACTTCTCTTGCCTGAACTGTTTTAAAAGATTAGTCATTGACTGGTTTGTATCAATGATTGCACCCCTTCATTCCATTTCCCTATAGCATCCAGAATAATTCTTTCTATGATGCCATACTTTTGCTTTCCTCAGGCCCTGCTCAAAACTTTTCAATAGTTTCACTTGGTCCTGGGGTTGTAATAAAACTTTTTATACCAAATTCCTGGTAGTATGGACCTCACCTAATTTCCTAGCCTCATCTTACACCACTCTCCTAGGCTCTTGCCTCCACCTGCCACTGTGGTCCTGCGTCAATTGCTCACAGATGCCATGCTCCCTGCTGGCACAGTGCCCAGCAAAGTTATGCCCTCTTTGTTAATTCACACCTACTCATTCTTCAGATGTCAGCTCAAGCTTCAGGAAATGATATCATGTTCTTTCTGCTGGTCAAATTCCTGATAAACACTTTGGGAGGCTAAGGCAGGAGGACTGCTTGAGCGTAGGAGTTTGAGACCAACCTGGGCAACATAGTGAGACCCCATCACTAATTTAAAAACAAAATATAGAAATAATAAAAAACAAAAATTCCTGATATATACTTCAACAGCATTATGTAACTCTCCTCTATAGCATTTAACGCAGCCATAATTTTATATTTACTTCTGCCATTATTTAATACCTGACTTCTCCACTAGACTGTCAATCCCATGAGGACTGGGGATTGTATCTTTTTTTTGCTCACATTTTAATACCCAGCAGATAGTGAATGTGCAATAAATATAAACTAAATGAAAGAATGATAGATATAGAGAATACGGGCTTAAATATAAGCCACAATAGTGGTGTTATACTTTCAGAGAAGACTTATTTACTTACTAAGAAAAGGAGAAGGTAAACTTAAAACTGTAAAGTGTAAATTTACTTTCTTTCTCTAAATAAGTTTGTTAAATAGCTTACCTAGACACAAATTCACTTAATTCTGAGCATTCTGTGGGCTCCATTATTATGTTGAGGTCAGTAACAGCAGAAGATAATCTCTCCTTATTCTAAAATAAAGATAAAATTTATGTATCAAAGCATGGTAAACTCCAAAAAGACAAAAATACTTTTGAAATATGCAAAATGAAATGCCACCAAATAAAAGGAAAGAGTAATCAAGAAATGAAACCAAAAATATTGGTTATTAAAAGAATGAAGTCAGATCCTTATTCTATAACAAAAACCAAAATGAACTCCAAATGAATTACTTATGTAAATTAAACACTGAAACAATAAAATGTGAGGAGAAAATACAAACTTAATTTATTAAGTGAAGAAAGACTTTCTAAGCAAAATTAGAAAAAAATTAGCAAATATGATTAAATAAAAACACAAAATAGCAAAGTAAAAAAATGACTTTATAATAAAAGAGAAGCAATAAACTAAGTATTTACCATAAACGTGACAAAGGGATATGGAAAAGGAAAAGGATATGAACTAAAAATTCAGAAGTGAAAAACAATTTACATGTACGAAAATGTTCGATCTCAAGCAGGCATGGTCGCTCATGCCTATTAGCACTTTGGGAGGCCGAGGTGGGCGAATCACCTGAGGTCAGGCATTTGAGATCAGCCTGGCCAAAATGATGAAAGCCCGTCTCTACTAAAAACACAAAAAATTAGTTGGGCGTGATGGCAGGCGCCTGTAATCCCAGCTACTTGGGAGGCTGAGACAGAAAAATCGCTTGAATCCAGGAGGCAGAGGTTGCAGTGAGCCGAGATCGCACCACTGCACTCCAGCCTGGTGACAGAGCGAGACTCCATCTCCACAAAAAAAAAAAGAAAGTAAGTTCAATCTCGCCAGTAATAACTGTAAATTAAAACAACAAGATAAGATGCCCTTTTTTTTTTTGGAGACGGAGTCTCGCTCTGTTGCCAGGCTGGAGCGCAGTGGTGCGATCTCGGCTCACTGCAACCTCTGCCTCCCGGATTTAAGCGATTCTTCTGCCTCAGCCTCCCCAGTAGCTGGGACTACAGGTGCCTGCCACCATGCCCAGCTAATTTTTGTATTTTTAGTAGAGACGGGGTTTCACCACGTCGGCCAGGATGGTCTCAATCTCTTGACTTCGTGATCCCCCCATCTCTGCCTCCCAAAGTGCTGGGATTACAGGCGTGAGCCACTGCACCCGGCCGACAAGATGCCATTTCTACCTATAAAATTAGCAAAGACTAAAAATGTTAATCCTAGTAAATATACTGAAACCTAGCATAACCCTTTTAGAAATCACTGTGACAATGCATATCTTAAAGATATTCCTTATCTCCGTCCCAGTAATTTAACTTCTGAGAATCTATCCGTAAGCACTGTAATGAGAAATGAAGACAAAGATCTATGAATAAATATATTCATAACAGTACTACTTATCACAGAAAACAAAAACAACTGTATACTCAATGATGGGGATTGTTAAACTATTTTGATCTGCAGATTCAGGTTTTCCCTTTTACTTTAGTAAAATTTCTTCTATTATGTATTTGCCCATAATTTCTCTTTACTTTTTTTGCTATTCTTGTTTTTGGAAAAATCATATATTGGCTCTCCATTGTCTGTCTTCTAGATTTATTATCTTCCTTTCAATTGCTTTCACAGATGAGTTTTCTCAAGCATATCCTCCATATTCAATTCCCTTATACTGATAATGTAGCTTTCAGTACTATAATCATTTTATTCTTTTCTTTTTCTCTCAGCTTTTTCTCTTACTCAATTTTCTTTATACTTTGAGAGTCAGAACAGCTTTTATATAGCATGCTGTTTTATTTCCTGGATTAATTATTCTTAATTGAATTTGTCTGCATTTCTTTAACTTCCTTTCTTTTAATGTTAGCATTTTTGCTCTGATTTTAAATCACATTGCCCGATATGATGATGAAAGAACTCCATTCCACCTTTTTTTTTTTTTTTTTTTTTTTGAGACAGAGTCTCGCTCTGTCGCCCAGGCTGGAGTGCGGTGGCTCAGTCTCGGCTCACTGCAAGCTCTGCCTCCCGTGTTCACGCCATTCTCCTGCCTCAGCCTCCCGAGTAGCTGGGAATATGGGCACCCGCCACCACGCCCGGCTAATTTTTTGTATTTTTAGTAGAGACGGGGTTTCACCGTGTGAGCCAGGATGGTCTCGATCTCCTGACCTCATGATCCACCCGCCTTGGCCTCCCAAAGTGCCGGGATAACAGGCATGAGCCACCACACCCGGCCCCGTTCCATCTTTGTGCTCTGAACTCTGTGGCTCCTATTTGTTACGAACAGCAGTAAATCCAGCATTTTTGCTATTTCCTAAGACTACAGTGAGTGGAAACTCCTTGACTCTCTTTCCTACATCTCTAGGTACTATCTGACTGCCCCGTAATATGCTGAGCTGTTGGAGAAAGAGATACTGATGGCTTATAGTCATTGCTTAGTTTTCCATCTGCTTGAGGGAAGGGTAGAAATTACCAAGAGAAGGTGCAGTTGAAGTAAGCTCTCTGTGGGCATCCTACCACCATTTCTAATCAACACATAAATTCCAGAAGCACTCTTACAGCTCAATTTTAAAAAAGATAACCCAATTTAAAACTGGGCCAAAGATCTGAATAGACGTGTCTCCAAAGATGATACATGAATGGCCAATAAGCACATGAAAAGATGCTCAACATCATTCGTCACCATTAGTAGTTCCATTTGACCTGGCAATTCCACTCCTGGTTATACATCCCCACAAAACAGAAACTTAAGTCCACTTAAAAACTTGTACATAGGGCTGAACATAGTGGCTCATGTCTCTAATCCCAACACTTTGGGAGGCTGAGGCAGGATTACCTAAGCCCAGAAGTTCACAACCAGCCTGGGCAACACAGTGAGACCCCATCTCCACAATGATAAATGCCAAAGCGTGGATGGGCCTTGAAAACATTATGCTAAGTAAAAGAAGCCAGACAACATAGACCACATATTATATAACTCTATTTCTATGAAATGTCCAAAATAAGCAAATCCAGAGAGAGAAAACTGGTTCTTTGTGGTTGGGTGAAAGAAGGGGGAATTGAAGGGTGACAGGTAAAGAATATAGGGTTTCTTGGCTGGGAGCAGTGACTCACACCTGTAATACCAGCACTTTGGGAGGCCGAGGCGGTCAGGAGTTCGAGACCATCCTGGCCAACATGGGGAAACCCCATCTCTACTAAAAATACAAAAAATTAGCTGGGCGTGGTGGTGGGCGTCTATAATCCCAGCTACTCGGGAGGCTGAGGCAGGAGAATCGCTTGAACCTGGGAGGCGGAGGTTGCAGCGAGCCTGCGCAACAGAGCAAGACTCAGTCTCGAAAAGAGTAACAATAATAATAATAATAAACTTGTGAAACAAAGCTTGTATTCCAAATAAATTATATCTTAAAAAAAATACTGAACTATACACTTTAAACTGGTAAGTTATATGGTATGTGAATTATATCTCAATAAAACTGTTACCAGAAAAAAAAAAGAGACGAAAGAAAGGAAAAGGAAAGAAAAAGTCTCAGGGGCACATCTGGTCTCTTGGTCAGGTATGTGTAGATACATGTTAGATTTCAGCTTTTCATCCATTAGGATAGGCAAAAAAATTTTTTTTTGTTTGCGTTATAGAATCCTGTTCAACAACTCAAAAGCTGACTTCAAAATATTGTTTTTCCATCTCTCCCCTGCTTGTGGTACTGCTAACTAGGTCAATTCTCCCCAGTTCGTAAATAAGGGAAGAGACCTTATAAACAATCTGACCTCAAAGCCCCTACATGAGTCTCAGCAGCACATTCCTTTCTACTATGGTCCATTTAAGCCTGCAGTTCTCATTCTCCTCTACAACTGAAGGATCATGGGTAGAGATCTTTAGGAAAAGGGTGCCATTAAGTTGGTCCTTTTTTTTTTTAAGACAGAGTTTTGGTCTATTGCCCAGGCTGGAATGCAGTGGTTCAATCACAGCTCATTGTAACCTTGAATTAGTGGACTCAAGCAATCCTCCTGTCTCAGCCTCCCAAGTGGCTAGGACTATATATGTGAGCCACCAAGCCTAATTTTTTTTAATTAAAAATTTTTTTTTTTTTTTTAGAGCAAGGTCTCACTATGTTGCCCAGGCTGGCTTCTAATTCCTGGGCTCAAGCTATCCTCCTACCTTGGCTTCCCTCAGCGCTGGGATTATAGGCGTGAGCCACTGTGGCCAGCCTAACTTTGTAAAACTTATAAACCCCTGATGAAGCACCCTGTATCGGATTTCAGTGTCTAGAATCAAATGTCATTAATATCAAACAGATTTCCTTTGGAGCCTGTGATAATGGAATTGTATTCTCTTCCATTTAAAAAAATTGCTTATTTTTTGAATAATTTTGTTCATTTCATTGGGACAGAAGTTATGGAAACATACTTAACCTGCCACTTTCCCCACAAACTCCTACCCATCTAATTGACTATATTGCTTGGATTATGAAAGGCTGATAAATGTTAATTCTGATGGCCTTACAACTCTTCACAAATGTAGTACTAAGAACACCAGAAAGTAAATCTGGCCAACAGAGCTCTATGTCCCAACCACCTTGGACAACAATAGCTGCACCAACATGAGTAATCATTCAAACTCTCTGGATCCATTTACTTATAAAATAATAGGGTTGACCCAGACAAACTATAAGTCATCGTTGTGTTCTAACATTCTATTAACATGATTTGAGGTCATGTTTAGTTCAAATATTATATTAATATAACTTTATTACAACAATATTCTGTAAATTGAGGGTTTTACTATTTAGATTACTTTTTAATTTTCAGATAGCTAAACCTCTCCCTCTAGTGGAAATTTTATTTTTAAAAAATGTTTTAGAACACACAAGGTTGCTGTCATTTTTTTTTTATCAGTCTTCACAGCAAAAATGTAGAACTGTGCTCAGTATGTAAAATGGTAAAACTATTTAGAAGGCAATTTGCCACTATCAATCAGAATTTATAAGTTTCCTTTGACTCAGCAATTCTACTAGATATGTTCCTAAAGGCATACATACACAAGTTGGTATAGAATACGCTAGAATTTACCATTAAATAATAAAAATTTCAAAAACTTTTCATCAGGTTATTATGTCAGAATTGTAAGCAATTGTTTTTCCCTCCCCAAGTAAGAACTCTTGGTGCCTCTCACACAACTGACTCCAAAAACCCTGATGATTACAGAGCTGTCTGTAATTTCTTCCAACACCTTGTTTACCAGTCTGGTCTTCAAGAAGAATCACAAAATCTAAAAGGCTCAGAGAGAAAGTGAGAGTTCTTAACACAGCCAGGGAGAACAAACTCTTTCTGTAGCACTTTGTTAGTAAAACCAATCAGTCCCAAAACACCTACACACTTTTAAACGTGAACAATGACAACTCATCTCTCTTTAGAGACTCAGCAATTACTAGGTTCTACGTCTTTCAAAGAATATATCAACAGTCCCTCTCCTTAGATTTTTTTTTTCCCCCTGCATCCCCTAAAGCATATAGGACAGAAACTGCTAGTGGTCTCCTCTATTTATACTTTTTTCTTGTCCCAGTTTTTCATTGGCCATATGGCCAAGCATAATGAAGATTAAATTTCCAGCATCCTTTATATGAATTTGTTGGCCAATAGAACATAAGTGAAAATGATGAGTGTACACTTTCCAGAAAGTGTCCTTTAAAAGAACAGGTGAGCCTTTCTTTGCCCATCCTCTTCCTGATACCCGAAATGCTAATATGATCATTGCACCATGACTTGAAGCCACGTGTGGCTGATGGTAGAACCTGATTATCATAAAACCACCCTATTAGCCCTTGAAAACATACAAGTTTACTTAAGTAATAGAGAAATATACTTCTAGTACCTTTATTTTTAAGTTTTCTGTGAGGCACAGCTCAACTGATTCTAATTCATTCAGATGTGAGCTAACAGTGTAAGCTTAGGCCATTACCAAACGGTCACAAAATTTTCAATCATGCTTTCGTGGCACGAGGATGAGAATATTAGCGTAAAATACTGTTGAGGTCTGGGTCAGTGCCAACACTGTCTGGTAGGAGGCAGAGTGTGGCCACAGCAGCAGGGGTTGCAGGACCTAAGTGGCAGGACATCCACTGCCTGGCTTCTGCCCTGTCTGTGCTGTCCTGGGGTGGTTACCCAGGCCCAGCAAGGCCAAACCACGCGGTAGTTCATGCCGGGAATGACTCTGGTCAGGCAGCAGTCATTCTTCAGGAGCATATCACATTATCAAAAATGTCTTCTACACCGTGACCTCATCCTTATCTGACTCAGGAAGGCATCAAATTACTATCTGATACTTTCCATCAGAGGTTTAAGGTGACTGAAGCATGCAACTTAAATAAAGTGAAGATATTGCAGTCTATGTTGGATACTATAGTCTACGTTATGTCTCAGGCCATAGCCCCACTAAGAAGCATACCAATCAATCTTAGGGTACAACCCATCCTGGAAGGTACAACTCCACTAAGAAGCTCATCCACCTCAATGTCAGAGGATAATCATTCCCTTCTCACTTAGATTTGTGGACAAGCCTCTCAAGGACAAGACTAATTCTGCCCACAACGGAGCTTCTCTCCACATAACCTATGAAGCAACTGTGAAAAAGATGAACTCTTACAGTAGAAAAAGCCTGCAAGACCCCAAGGCTGCTAGGATTCCCCTGAGCAGTTTCCTGGACATATATACTAGAGTGCAGATGTTTTTGGAGATGGAAGTGGACCACGGGATTATGATTCCACCAACCTGCCATGGGTTGCAGGCTTGGCCCATTAATGGATGCCAGCATACAGAAGAGCATTCAGTAGATTACCACTCTCAGGTCAAGTTCACATCAGCCACAAAGAAAGAAAATATAGTCAGTCAGACTATGAAACCTTTTATAAAGGGACAACATCCAGGAGTCCAGCAGTCGCCTAAAGGAAAAGCCTGGGGTGGTGGCACAGGTTGTCCAGCCTAAATGATACCAATCCATTTGGATCCATTCTCTGCTTTAGTCTTCAGCAAATGATCTTTGTGGTCATGTGATATCTCCTTGGTGACCTTGTACATCCCCAAGGCCTAGGGCCCATGTGGGAACAATGTCAGTCCCCTAGAGCCATTTAGGGGCATGTCCACCCATGCCCTTGACACACTGAACATGCTGAAATGTGTTTTGTATCCCGCTCAACTGGCCTTGGCAACGCTACACGGCACCTTTTCTTGGTCACTTTGGCAGTGTAAGAGTGATACTCTAAGATGAGTACAAGCTAGGAGCTTTGCCATCAAATGAGGGGGTCTAGACAACCCCTAGCCCATCCTCAGCCTGCCAGAGCCAGTAATAGCAAATGGAGACTTGGATTGCAAAGAGAAGCAAAACTTCCAAACCCAGGTAACTGTACCAAATCCTTGGGACTAGTTAGGGAGTGGCTATCTGACACAGAAGGAGGAAAGGTCCTGACTCCATAACCAACTCCTGTCTCATACTAAATGGGAAACTTGGGACAATTTTTGTGGCTAAGGACACTGATGAAAAGGATAAGGAATACTGGCACATGACCCTGAATATAAGCATGCAGCTTGTCCACAGGACTCAGTTACAATAAATACTCTACACCACTTTAGTTATCTGATGAGCTGAGGTCAACGCAGCCTCACTGCCCTTCCCTGTTCTGTTCCTCCTCTTTGCACACATTCCGTTGGCCCAACTGGCAAAACCAACTGGTTGAAACTGCTTTCTCCTCTTTCAACTGCTTTCTCCGGCTTTCAACTTTTCTTGGAGTCAGCCTTTGAAGGTGGTTGAGCCGTGTTCTGCTGCACCCTGGCCAGTGGGTTTACTTATTATCATTCTGTCTGCTTTTGCTTTCCTGCTTCCTGATATTATGTGAAGGTCTTAGCCAAATGAATCTTCCTCCCTCTGTTGTGTCTCAGCAGTTCAGTACAATGTGCAAGATCATCCAGCCCCAAGGAGCATTCAGATGGCTGTGGTCCCAGATGACCACAACCTCATGAGAGGCCCTGAGCAAAGACACCCAACTGAGTGGCTCCAAAATTCCTGACCCACAGAAAATAGGTGAGATAATTAATACACATAGTCAGCCCTCCCTATCTATGGTTCTACATTCATAGACTGACCAACTGCAGACCAAAAATATTTGAAAAAAAAATCTACAGATGCAGATGGTTGCATCTGTACTGAACACGTGCAAGTTGTTTTTCTCATAATTATTCCCTAAACAATATACTACAGTAACCATTTCACAGCATTTACATTGTATTGGGTATTAGAAGTAATCTAGAGATGATTTAAAGTATAAAGGAGGATGTGTGTACATTATAGACAAATACTACACCATCTTATATAAGGGACTTGAGCATCCATGGATTTTGGTACTACAGGGAGTCCTGGAACCAATCCCTCACAGATACTGAGGGATGATTGTATTTTTGGTTGTTTTTTTGTATGTGTGACAGAGTCTCACTCTGTTACCCAGGCTCGAGTACAGTGGCACAATCACAGCTCACTGTAGCCTCGATCTCTTAGGCTCAAGGAATCCTTCCACCTCAGCCTCTGGAGTAGCTGGGAGCTCAGGTGCACACCACCACGCCTGGCTAATTTTTAATTTTTTTGTAGGGACAGGGTCTCACTACATTGCCCACGCTGGTCTCAAACTCCTGGGCTCAAGCAATCCTCCTGCCTTGGCCTCCCAAAATGCTGAGACTACAGGTGTGAGCCACCATGTTTGGCCTATTTTGGGTTGTTTTAAAATGCTGAATATTATGGAGATTGATGAAGCAGCAACAGGTAACTAATAGATATTAGGTGGCTGGCATATCACCTAACTACTGATGACACCCAGGACTATTCCCACAATCTCATGGAATTGCACTGGGAGCCCAGGAGCATCTTGCCACCTGTCCTTCAATAAATCACCTATGGCTTTCACAGCAACACTACCGTATGCAGTTGCTGGGCTATTAACACCTGAAATTTTGAAAATGTACCACTTTGCACAAATGTGCTATGAATGGGGGCCCTGGCTCATGAACTCCTCTTCAGATCCACCACTGTTGAAGGCTGGGGTGTGGGAATTGTTTGTCATAGCAGAAGTACCTCTGTTATCACAACATGTTTCTTAATTTACCTGAATTTCCAGAATCTGAAATTCAAGTTGAAATGTAACCATGTGGCAATTTCCTGATAATCTGTGTCTCTGTAGAACTTTTCTTATACCTGTAAACCAGAAAAACAAATATTTTGTTTGCAAATAACCATTCTCTTCAAATGCCTATTATTTAATTTTGTGTGAATATCTACAATACATGTAGGTATAAGTGTGAAAGTCTGCATTAGCAATTACATTGAAAAACTCTGGAAGAATGTAAACCAAATTGATTATCTTTGCAAAATAAAATTAATGATAACTTGTGTTTCTAGTTTTCTTTTTTTTTTCCAGACTGAGTTTCGCTCTTGTTGCCTGGGCTGGAGTGCAATGGCGCAATCTTGGCTCGCTGTAACCTCCACCTCCCAGGTTCAAGCAATTCTCCTGCCTCAGCCTCCTGATTAGCTGGGATTACAGGTGTGCGCCACCACATCCAGTTAATTTTTTGTATTTTTAGTAGAGACAGGGTTTCACCATACTGGTCAGGCTGGTCTCAAACTTCTGACCTCAGGTGATCCACCCACCTCGGCCTCCCAAAGTGCTGGGATTATAGGCATGAGTCACCGCACCTGGCCAAGTTTTCAACTATACCAAAAGTTATGGTAAGAAGTAGAAATGTACTAGTATAACCCTAGACAAATTTGAATCATGTTAACTGTTCAATGGTTTTTATTTTTCTAACACTACCTAGTTTTTAAAGGCAGTAAATTGAATCCATGCGTTTACCTCTGCTATTTCTCAAAACTGCAATGACAGTGATAAACGACATTTTCGAGATATAACATGCATACATTTGAATGCATAAAATGCCCTATCCTTTTTTTTTTTTTTTTTTGAGACATAGTCTCACTCTGTCACCCAGGCTGGAGTGCAGTGGCCAGATATCAGCTCACTGCAAGCTCCGCCTCCCGGGTTTACGCCATTCTCCTGCCTCAGCCTCCCGAGTAGCTGGGACTACAGGCGCCCGCCACCTCGCCCAGCTAGTTTTTTGTATTTTTTAGTAGAGACAGGGTTTCACCGTGTTAGCCAGGATGTTCTCAATCTCCTGACCTCGTGATCCGCCCGTCTCGGCCTCCCAAAGTGCTGGGTTTACAGGCTTGAGCCACTGCACCCGGCCTCCATAAAATGCCCCATTCTTAAGTATACAGCTCAATATTTCTTTTTACACATGTGGTTGTCCAGGTAACTACCACTCAGATCATGCCACAAGAATTTTATAGAACCTGTAAGGTTCCTTAATGTCCTTTCCCAGGCTATACCCTACCCCCAAGAGGTAAGTAAGCATGATCCTGACTTCATGTAGTCATCTAGTTTTGCTAATAACGTTACTTTTAGAAGGGCATGATTCTACAAGGATAAAGGGAACAGGGAAAATAAGAACAACTGGATTTGAGAAGCTGGAAATCAGATGGATGAACTAGATAGCACATGGACAAGTGAAAGTGACCTGGTAAAGCCAGGAAAACTGAAACCTAAGCCAGCAAATGAGGAAAACCCAGAAGCAAGTCCATTTACACAGCAGAATACCAGATGGGTTACTATGAATCAGCAGCACCAAGTACCTTTATAGGAGGTGAACCTGGGGCTCAAAATAGGAAGACTGGTTAAAGGTTTGTTCAATAAGCAGTTAGGAAAAAAAGACAGAATGGTACAAACGGACATAATTTGCCTCCTAATTAGATGTACTGGTAAGAGCAAAACATCACTTTCATAGTTTTCCTGCCAAAATTGCACAGGAATGTCATTAAGAGGAAACTATCAGGAAAAAAAGAGATTGAAGAACAATCTATAATACAAGTGGTCTTCAAATATGTCAATGTCGTAAGAGACAGAGAAGATTGACCAGATTAAGACTAAAGAGACATAACAGCTAGATGCAATGCTTAATCATGGATTAGATGTGGAATTGTTTAAATAAATGGCTATGGAAGACTCACTACGGTTAAGATGTCAGTTCTTCCCAACTTTGATCTGTACATTCAATACAATCCAATCAAAATTCCAGCAAGTTACTTTCTGGATATCAACAAAATGATTATCAAGTTTACATGGAATGGCAAAAACTCAGAAGAGCCAGAATAATTTTCAAGAGTTTTCGTTTTTTGTTTTTTGTTTTGAGATGGATCTTGCTCTGTCGCCCAGGCTGGAGTGCAGTGGTGCGATCTCGGCTCACTGAAAGCTCCGCCTCCCGGGTTCATGCCATTCTTCTGCCTCAGCCTCCCGAGTAGCTGGGACTACAGGCGCCCCCCACCTCGCTCGGCTAATTTTTTTGTATTTTTAGTAGAGATGGAGTTTCACCATGTTAGCCAGGATGGTCTCGATCTCCTGACCTCGTGATCCGCCCGTCTCGGCCTCCCAAAGTGCTGGGATTACAGGTGTGAGCCACCGCGCCCGGCCAAAAGAAAGTTTAAGAACTTAAACGACCTGATTTAGAGACTTACTAAAAGTTTAAGAACTTAAACGACCTGATTTAGAGACTTACTAAAAGTTTAAGAACTTAAACGACCTGATTTAGAGACTTACTATAAAGCTACAGTAATCAAGAAAGTATGGTATTAGTGAAAGAGTAGACAAATAGGTCAACAGAACAGAAGAGAAAGTCTAGAAATAGACTCACACAGATATAGTCAACTGATCTTTGACAAAGGAACAAAGGCAGTTCAATGGAGAAAGGATAGTCTTTTCAATAAAAGGTGCTGGAACAACTGAACATCCACATGCGAAAAAAAAAAAAATCTAGACACTGACTTTATACCTTTCACAAAAATTAACTCAAAATTTATTACAGTTCTAAATATAAAATACAAAACTAAAACTCCTAGAAGATAATATAGGAGAAAATCTAGATGACCTTGGGCTTTGTCCATAAAAATAAATATGCCAAAAATGTGGTAAAGAAAAAATGCAGATGGAATCCTGGAAGTAATCTACAGCAACCACTTTATTTTGCACATAAGAAATCAGACCCAGAGAGACTTACTAATCTCTCCAGTCTCCAGGCTTTTTTTTTTTATGTACAGGTTTTATTTTTTCTTTATGGAACACTATGCATACATAACTTGCATATAAATATATGTAGTATGATAAATTTTCAGTTTGATGCTTTTTTACTTGAACACACTGATTTTTATTTTATTTTTTACTTTTGAGATGGAGTCTCGTTCTGTCGCCCAAGCTGGAGTGTGGTGGCAGCATCTCCGATCACTGCAACCTCTGCCTCCCGAGCAGCTTGGAATACAGACATGCCCCACCATGGCCCGCTAATTTTTGTGTTTTTAGTAGAGACAGACTTCACCATGTTGGCGAGGCTGGTCTCGAACTCCTGACCTCAAGTGATTCACCTGTTTTGGCTTCCCAAAGTGTTGGGACTACAGGCGTGAGCCACCACACCGGTTTTTTAGTTTTTTGTTTTTGTTTTTGTTTTTTTGAGACAGGGTCTCACTGTCATCAAGGCTGAAGCGCAGTGGTGCAATCTCAGCTCACTGCAACCTCCACCTCCCAGCTTCAAGCCATTCTCCTGCCTCAGCTACTCGAGCAGCTGGGACTACAGGAACGCACCACCACGCCTAGCTAATTTTTGTATTTTTAGTAGAGACGGGGTTTTACCATGTTAGCCAGGCTGGTCTTAAACTCCTGACCTCAAGTGACCCGCCCACCTCGGCCTCCCAAAGTGCTGGGATTACAGGCGTGAGCCACTGCACCTGGCCTGATTTTTATTTTTAAATAATGAGTAAGGGTGTATTTTTAACAAAGTTTAAGGACCACAGAAGAGGATCAGTCCTTCAAAACCATCAATCCATGTATCAAGCCCATCCACATGTTTTTAACAACATACATTTAAAGCTCATTAAAAGACAAGAATAAAAACTATAAATTAAAAAACTACTCTCGGCCGGGCACAGTGGGTCACACCTGTAATCCCAGCACTTTGGGAGGCCAAGGCAGGTGGATCACGAGGTCAGGAGATCAAGATCATCCTGGCCAATGTGGTGAAACCCTGTCTCTACTAAAAATGCAAAAATTAGCCAGGCATGGCAGAGTGCGCCTGTAGTCCCCGCTACGTGGGAGGCGAAGGCAGGAGAACTGCTTGAACCCACGAGGTGGAGGCTGCAGTGAGCTGAGATTGCACCACTGCACTCCAGCCTGGGCGACAGGGCAAGACTCTGTCTCAAAAACAAACAAACAAAAAACCCAAAAAACAACAACAAAAAAACTACTCTCATTACTTTGCGGTAACACTTAATTTTGGACTCCAAATTCCATTACTTAGTTTGTAAACTGACTCTTACAGAATCAAAATGGAGAATTTAAAAGAATCATCATAGGCACTAAAGGAAATTCCAAAAGAAGAGTTCTAAAAATGTTTGGAGAAATAAAAGCATAGCTGCAATAAAGTCTACATTCTTTACACATGATTATTTTGAAGGAAATCAAGATCATTTGATTACCTAGCTTCAGCTACATTCATTAACACACCACAGAAACTGTGTCTGCCCAATTAATAGCTATGGAAAATGATAATGACTTCAAATAGCATTTGGCCAAGTGCCTGGGCCAGACACAGTAATTATCTGATTAATTAAAGATTTGATGGCATCATACGTCACCAAACACATCCACTAAATCAAACTGTTTTGTTCTCAGTTTAATAGATTAAAAAGCCTCAAAATACAGTAGTATTAGAAAAACCATTTTAAATAATATTGTATCACTTCTGTTAGGAACAACTATTCACTTTTGCCTGGCAACTTTTTTACGTGTCATAACAAACATAAAATGTGACATAAGAAAATACAGTCTTTGATGACAAGGCTTTCAAGCATTTTTAACCTGTGAAGCCTAACAGCTGTTTAACTTCTTTATGAAATTATGCAATGCTTGTGAAAAAGAGAAACAGAAATATCGGAAAACCAGTGACACCGAGCCTACATCGTCACAAGGCTTATTCTGATAGAATCCTTTCACATGCAGATTATACTACATATGCCTATTACTGTCAGTTTGTATTACTATTTTCCTGTTCAAAATATTTTTCGTAGACTGGGCTCAGTGGCTCATGCCTGTAATCTCAGCACTTTGGGAGGCCAAGGCGGGCAGACCACCTGAGGTCAGGAGTTCGAGACCAGCCTGGCCAACATGGTGAAACCCCATTTCTACCAAAAATATAAAAATTAACCGGGCATGATGGCACGCACCTACAATCCCAGCTACTCTGAAGGCTGAGGCAGGGGAATCACTTGAATCTGAGAGGTGGAGGCTGCAGGGAACTGAGATTACCCCACTGCACTCCAGTCTGGGTGACAATGCAAAACTCCATCTCAAAAAAAACAAAACAAACAAAAAAAAAAAACAAAGAAAAAAAGAACAACAAAAAAATAAAAAACAAGATATTTCTCTTCCCATGCCATTACTCTTGCTAAATTACTTCACAATTAATTTCAAGAAATTCCTACAACTACTTAGATTTCTGGCTTTAAAATGGTATTTCTTCTTTATAATTTTTGTGTTTTTCCAAGTTTGCTAAAATAAGCACATATTACTCACAGACAGAAAAAAAAGCATTTCAACTCTTGTGATGTCCCTGTCTGAAATCTCCCATTCAAACCACATTAGCTTTGTCATGACTCTACGCCTACTCTTCGTGCTGCAGCTTTTCAGCTAGTAAAAGTCTTATACCCGGCCTATCCTCATTCTCTATTCTCTCTGCATTCCATCTCTTCCTTTCAAGTAATTTAAGTCTCCAAATCCCATCACTCTATTTCTATATGTAATTCAGTCACCCCGCAGTGGCTGCCCAAGACCCTCTCCCCTGTCACGAGGGTTATTTTCAGTGGAAAAGTCAGGAAACACACGAAAAATGATTTCTGCTTTTGGGAATGTTATTCTTGACAACCAAAGTTCTTGACATCCAGTTGCACAGCTGCAGTAGCTTCCCTTTATCTCTTAGTGCATCACAGATCTTTGGCAATAAAATCTAGTCACTGGGACCCGAAACTTTCCTTCCGGCAAAAGGTCCAGCTGCTAAAACATTTATCTTGGCAGCTTTCATGTCAGTGCTGAACAACTCCTAAGATGTATAAATTAATGGTGCTGTTGTTTATTCACTTATTAGTATTTACTTGACTATTAAGGTACTTAATGATAGAAACTGTGTCTGTTCTTCTCCATCAGGAAGGAGAGAAGGTAAAAGAGAAAAAGAGGCCGGGCGCGGTGGCTCAAGCCTGTAATCCCAGCACTTTGGGAGGCCGAGACGGGCGGATCACGAGGCCAGGAGATCGAGAGACGATCCCGGCTAACACGGTGAAACCCCGTCTCTACTAAAAAATACAAAAAAAACTAGCCGGGCGAGGTGGCGGGCGCCTGTAGTCCCAGCTACTCGGGAGGCTGAGGCAGGAGAACGGCGTAAACCCGGGAGGCGGAGCTTGCAGTGAGCTGAGATCCGGCCACTGCACTCCAGCCTGGGTGACAGAGCAAGACTCCGTCTCAAAAAAAAAAAAAAAAGAGAAAAAGAAACTCTGTCTGTTCTTTAATATTTACCTCAGGCAGCTTATTTATTTTTATTTGTTTTAAATGGAGTCTTGCTCTGTCCCCCAGGGTGGAGTGCAACAGCACAATCTCGGCTCACTTCAACTTCCACCTCCCAGGGTCAAGTGATTCTCCTGGCTCAGCCTCCCAAGTGGCTTAGATTACAGGTGCCCACCACCACATCCGGCTAATTTTTGCATCTTTAGTAGAGACAGAGTTTCACCATGCTGGCCAGGCTGGTCTCAAACTCCTGACCTTAGGTGATCCACACGCCTCAGCCTCCCAAAAGCTGGGATTACAGGCACGGCCACGGGGCCCGGCCGAGGCAGCTTTTTGAACACCGTGATGTTCAAAAGATATGTGAGTAAACATGTTTACCACAACCATACTTTCAAATACTTACCTTGTAGAATTTTAATTCAATATTATGACAACCAAATTTTTTTTAAATTATTATACTTTAAGGTCTAGGGTACATGTGCACAACCTGCAGGTTTGTTACATATGTATACGTGTGCCATGTTGGTGTGCTGCACCCATTAACTCATCATTTACATTAGGTATATCTCCTAATACTATCCCCCACTTCTCCCACCCCATGACAAGCCCCAGTGTGTGATGTTCCCCTTCCTGTGTCCAAGTGATCTCATTGTTCAATTCCCACCTATGAGTGAGAACATGCGGTGTTTGGTTTTTTGTCCTTGCGATAGTTTGCTGAGAATGATGGTTTCCAGCTTCATCCATGTCCCTACAAAGAACATGAACTCATTCTTTTTAATGGCTGCATAGTATTCCATGGTGTATATGTGCCACATTTTCTCAATCCAGTATGACAACCAATTTCTTATGCATAATAAGGAAAGCTTCAATACTATGTCTAGATTTTTAAAAAATGCTTACTCTTTTCTGCCATCTCAGTGCTTGTTAGGTCTTCTGTCTGCCTGGAGTAATTTCTTATATTGATGCCAGTAAGCGTACTTAGAAATGAAAGTTCTGATTCTAAATGTCCAAGCTGATTCTTCAGATCTTTTGAAGACTTCCATCCTTCCGAAGTGAATTGGTGTATGGCTTGAAAAGATTTTCTAAAAGGCAAATAACAAAAACAATCACTCCAATTACTAACATGTATTTCATCTAATACCCCCATTTTCCTCAAAGCATTCCCATTTTGTCCCTCTTACTCTCTTCCTATTAAGTCCCCTTCCCCCATTAAAAAGAAAAAAAGAAAAAAAGAATTTTCTCAAAACCAGTGTGGTTACTAACACTGCCTTTTTTTTTTTTTTTTTTTAAAGAGATGGGGTCTCTCGCTGTCACCTGGGCTAGAGTGCAGGGGTGTAATCATAGTGCACTGTAGCCTTGAACTCCCAGGCTCCAAGGATCCTCCTGAGTAGCTGGGACCACAGGTGTGCCACTGTGCCTAGTTAATTTCTTTTTCCTTTTTGTAGAGACAGGGTTTTGCTTTATTACCCAGGCTGGTCTTAAACTCCTGGCTTCAAGCCTCAGCCTCCCAGCATGTTGGATTATAGGCGTGAGCCACCATGCCCGGCCCACAATCTTTAATTTCAACAAAAAACATATGTAACCAAATTATACTTCCAAATTTCCACCTATTAGAAATACTTTTAAAATAAATTATAACAGGAGTACTTTGCAAAATTACATGTGAGTTCTGACCCATGAAATTCCAGCCTAAATTCCTACCTCTCAAATTATTTTAAAAGATGTCTTGAAATTAAAAAAATAGGCTGGGCACAGTGGCTCACACCTGTAATCTCAGCACTTTGGGAGGCCGAGGCAGGTGGATCATGAGGTCAGGAGATCGAGACCATCCTGGTTAACATGGTGAAACCCTGTCTCTACTAAAAATACAAAAAATTAGCCAGGTGTGGTGGCGGGTGCCTGTAGTCCCAGCTACTCGGGAGGCTGAGGCAGGAGAACGGCATGAACCCGGGAGGCGGAGCTTGCAGTGAGCAGAGATTGCGCCACTGCACTCCAGCCTGGGTGACAGAGCGAGACTCCATCTCAAAAAAAAAAAAAAAGAAATTAAAAAATAAAATCAATTAGCTAACTTTAATTTCTAAAAGTAAACATCACAGAACATTTTATAGTAAGAAAGAGTTTTTTAGGGAAAAGAAATAGCAAATCTCTTTAAACATCACTATAGCTAGACATTCTTCATTGAGAACATACAAATATATTTTCCTTGAGAACAAGAATGAAATTTTAGTTAGCCTGGTACAGTGGCTCACGCCTGTAATCCCAGCACTTTGGGAGGCCAAGGCAGGTGGGTCACTTGAGGTCAGGAATTTGAGACCATCCTGGCCAACATGGTGAAATCTCTTGTCTACTAAAAATGCAAAAAATTAGGCCGGGCGCGGTGGCTCAAGCCTGTAATCCCAGCACTTTGGGAGGCCGAGACGGGCGGATCACGAGGTCAGGAGATCGAGACCATCCTGGCTAACACAGTGAAACCCCGTCTCTACTAAAAATACAAAACCTTAGCCGGGCGAGGTGGCAGGCGCCTGTAGTCCCAGCTACTCGGGAAGCTGAGGCAGGAGAATGGCGTAAACCCGGGAGGCGGAGCTTGCAGTGAGCTGAGATCCGGCCACTGCACTCCAGCCTGGGTGACAGAGCGAGACTCCGTCTCAAAAAAAAAAAAAAAAAAAAAAATGCAAAAAATTAGCCTGGCGTGGTGGCAGGTGCCTGTAATCCCAGCTACCCAGGAGGCTGAGGCAGGAGAATTGCTTGAGTCTGGGAGGCAGAGGTTGCAGTGAGCCAAGATCACGCCACTGCACTCCAGCCTAGGCAACAGAGTAAGACTCTGTCTCCAGGGGGAAAAAAAAAAAAAAAACAGAAAAAAATTTAAAAAACTTTTTAAAAAGAAGAAATTTTAGCTAATAATTGTGTTAGATGGTATTTTATTTTTTGTCATCCATTATTTCCTTTAAACACTCTGCTACATTCTACACTATTGACTTTTCTTGCCAGCTTAAAACATCCCTTCCTTAGATTCTTGGGCATAATTATCCCAATTCTCATTAGATCTTGGGTCGGCTTCTTGTCTCCAACATTAGAGGAAAACCCAAACACTCTTACTTCTGCTGTCCTAAATATGTATTCTTCCATTCTGCAGGAACACTAACTGATTAGCCTTAGCTCCTCTATGCCAGTAACTCTTAAAATATACCTCTAACCATATATCTCTTCTTCCTGCAAGGTAGATCTAGCTTGATATCTCACCAAATGGTTTCTCTTGGAATCTGCTTTTCCTCTAAATTACCCTACATTTGTTAATAATAAAACCTTTCTCTTGGTATGTCAGGCTCCAGACCTTGGAAGTTATCCTTGGCTCCTTCACTTGCCTGACATCTGGACTTACTGCCATCCTTTCTGCTCCTCACATAACTATTCTTCCTTTTGTATTTCTAATTCTACTACATTAGCCAATGCTCTTATGACCTTACACCATCTCTACACAGAATAATCTAATGCTATAGTCTTCACACTGAGAACCCAATCTGTAAAAATTGTTTCAAATTTTGTTTTAATGCTAATTTAAAATGTTAATGTAAGTATATCCCGTATCATGAAACTACCACAGCCTCTTTTGCATTTGCCATCGTAGACTGATGCCCCCACAAATTACATTAAATATAGAAGTCAAGGAAAAAAGAACAGAGTGGGTGCAGCGACTCACTCCTGTAATCCCAGCACTTTGGGAGGCTGAGGCAGCCCAGGAGTTCGAGACCAGTCTGGAAAACATGGCAAAACCCCATGTCTACCAAAAAATACACACACACACACACACACACATAAACAACAAATTATCTGGGCGTAGTGGCCTTCAGTCCCAACTACTTGGCTGGTAGAGGGTCACTAAGGCAGGATGGTTGCTTGAGCATGGGAGGTGGAGGTTGCAGTGAGTCATAATCATGCCGCTGCACTTCAGCCTGGGCAACAGAGTGAGACCCTGTCTCAAAAAACAAAACAAAAAAGAAAAAGAAAAAAGAACAGAGATAAATTTCCTATATAAATGATGAGCGGCCGGGCATGGTGGCTCACGCCTGTAATCCCAGAACTTTGGGATGCTAAGGTGGGCAGATCACCTGAGGTCAGGAGTTCAAGACTAGCCTGCCCAACATGGCTAAAACTCTGACTCTATTAAAAATACAAAAAATTAGCTGGGCGTGGTGGTGGGTGCCTGTAATCCCAGCTACTCAGGAGGCTGAGGCAGGAGACTCGCTTGAACTTGGGAGGCGGAGGTTGCAGTGAGCTGAGATCACACCACCACACTCCGAAATTCCGTCTCCAAAAAAAAAAAAAAAAAAAAAAAGCCATAAATATAAATGAGCTTCTGACAAGTGAACACCAAATGTCACAGCAAGCTATGAATGAAAATTTCAAGGTATTTCCAATAGAGCAAAATGGTAAGAGAACCAAGTCATCATTAAAGGCTGGATATGCAGAACTCAAAAAAGAACCTGCAGTTGTCAGAGTGGCCAGTAGGGAGTTTGTGTTTCATAGGTATGGTGTTTCAGTTTGGGGAGATGAAAAAGTTCTGAAGATGAACAGTGGTGATGGCAGTACAACAATGTGCAAGTGTTTAATGCCATTGAGCTGAACACTTAACAATGGTTAAAACAGTAAATCTTACGTATATTTTGCCACAAAAAGAAAATCTGCATATTCTTATTCATAGCAGCTATTTAGTTTGAGCAAAATATTTGTGTATTTCAACTAACGATGTTAGTTTGAGCTATTTTGGATTTGTCTGAATTTTATTCACTTTGTGGTTTTATTATTGGTAAGTCGGTCTTCACAGCATAAAAATTTGTCAGAATTAGGAGCTTGCAAGAATTTGTTTTCCTTTAAAATGAATCTATACACAAGTTTAAAGGTCAATGGTCTACTAAGTGTTAGTTACTATTATGAGGCAAGTACTCTTCTAAATGAACTACATATATTAACTCAATTAGTCCTCACAGCAACCCAAAAACTTGGGTATAATTTTACCACGGAGGAAACTGAAGCACATAAAGTGGGAGCTCACTTAACCAAGATCACTCGGCCAATAGCAGAGACAGGATTTGAAAGCAGGCAATTTGGCGCCACAGTGTGGACACATGGATATAGCTGAATAATTTAGCTACAATTTTCCTACCTCCAATCCATCCAACCACTTACAATCACTTAAAAAAATAGCTTGGTACACAGGTCCCAATCCTCCTCCTCCACTATAGTGAAAAGAAACCTCACGGTTAAGTCCAAACACACTGAACTGACATTTAATGTCTCCCACAATATGGACTCGTCTTGACTTTCCAATTTAACCACTGAGAAGTTCCAGATTATATAAATAATTTACTAAGAACTAAAAATAAAATCCTACCCCACCCCCACAATCACCCAAACCGACTCCCTCTTGGTCAAGGGGACCCCAAAGAAACCTTAAAAACTCAGCTCTTAACCATGACAGGACGGGAGGTCAGACACACCTCATTATAGCCCTTCCTATTTGGGATACAGACACAACTGACCAGCATTAATGTTAAAACAGAGATCGTAAGAGTTGCAGAACAGACTCTGTGGCAATAAGATACCAAATTATAAACAAGACCTAAGGCCATGCCAGGCAAGGATTAAGTCACATACCCCCTACACTTAAAAGAATGAACTATCACTTTGGGAGGCTGAGGCAGGTGGATCACCTGAGGTCGGGAGTTCAAGACCAGCCTGACCAACATGGAGAAACCCCACGTCTACTAAAAACACAAAATTAGCTGGGGTGGTGGCGCATGCCTGTAATCCCAGCTACTCGGGAGGCTGAGGCAGGAGAATCGCTTGAAACCGGGAGGTGGAGGTTGCGGTGAGCCAAGATCGCGCCATTGCACTCCAGCCTGGGCAAAAAGAGCGAAATTCTGTCTCCGAAAAAAATGAACTATGTTCTAACTGCCACAATGTTTTTTTTTCTCTAGTGGCTAAACAAGCACTGGCCTCCAGATAAGCAATATTGAAATAATTGCAGTTCATCCACCACCAGATGCTAACTGATTCCCCTGTTCCACAGGCTTTGATAGGACAAGAGAATGATTTCAAAAATTTTTCTTTTGATAAGATCACCAACCATGGACTTGTTCTAACAGGTTTACAAAGCCTGTGTACTTAAGTACCTTTGCTTCCCTCCTTCAACTTTTGACATACAGGGCCTAATTGTAATGCATTTAAATGTTAAGTCAGTTCCCCAAAATGAACATGGAATGTATGTAATATGCATGTTTATTCAGTACACGTGAGCACATCTCCCTTTGTGAATATTCATAGCCCCTCCTATAACCTGTTGTAATGTGTATACATAGCCCACTCATCCATCATAAATCCCTGCCCCAACCCCTCCTCTTCCAAAGTGCGGGCCTTTCTGCTTTGCCTGAGACTATGCTTCCCAGCCTGTCAGGATGGCCACTTTGCAGGCTGCAACCCTTTTTAAGAAACAGTCTAGGGCCGGGCGCGGTGGCTCAAGCCTGTAATCCCAGCACTTTGGGAGGCCGAGACGGGCGGATCACAAGGTCAGGAGATCGAGACCATCCTGGCTAACACGGTGAAACCCCGTCTCTACTAAAAAATACAAAAACCTAGCCGGGCGAGGTGGCGGGCGTCTGTAGTCCCAGCTACTCGGGAGGCTGAGGCAGGAGAATGGCGTGAACCCGGGAGGCGGAGCTTGCAGTGAGCTGAGATCCGGCCACTGCACTCCAGTCTGGGCGACAAAGCGAGACTCTGTCTCAACAAAAAAAAAAAAAAAAAAAAAAGAAACAGTCTCTCAAAATTTGCAGATCTCATGATTTTTCAGTTGACACTACTTTACCATGTGGACTAATGAAATCTTGTGGCTAGTAAAGAAAACACTTTTCCCCAGTTTTTAAACTTCAAAGTGTGCACACAAATCATCTGTTAGGGCAGGGGATCTTTTTTTAAATGCAGATTCTGATTCAGTTGGTCAGGCTGTCGCTCTAACAAACCGCCAGGTGATGCTAAAGCATCCCATCTGCGGAGCACACCTCAAGTAGCAACGGTCTTTAATACAATGACTCTCACTCGAGGAGGGGCACACCTGTTTCCTCTCCCTTTTACCAGTCACAGCTTCCTCTACTTTCACGACCGCACGCAGACATTTTCTGTAGATCTCCTTCCCATTTTCTACCAATTCTTCTCCAGTTAGCTCAGGAAAAATAAATAAATAAATAAATAAATAAATCTCACTCTCTCTGCACCTGTGTCAAATTAGTCTTGACTCAAAAATTGAAGATAGTTTGTTTTCGCGAGGCTTCCATGTTTGAGATGATGATACATAATTACGGCTGCAGAGCTTTTCTCTCCCTCTCCTTCAACAAAGCAGAAGTGCCCAGACTTTGGGGTTAAATTTTTGGGTTCCTAATCCATCTCTGACAATTCCTTTCTCTGGAACCTTGGACGAGCTACCTAACCCCTCTGAGCCTCAGTATCTTCAACTATGAAACAGGGCCAACAGTAGCACCTACCTTAGAGGAATGTCAAATTCTCCTACAGGCTATATTAACCACTCTTCTTGATATCAACTTACTTTTTTACCGAAGTTATTTTTCAAAGGAATTTTTATGTCATCGTAAACAAAAAGTCAGTATCACTTGCCATGGTTAGCTGACCCATTAAAAAAAATGCCATGAAATCAAACGGAGTTACTAAATCCCCACTAGAGATACCTCTGCTTACTGGAGGCGGAACTATCTAGCTAGGGACATAGTCAAGACCTTCTCCTTGTCAGTCATCCACACAGACGACTGCGATTAAACGAGCTAATAATCTGCAAGGCGTTTACAGCAGGGCGCCGTACGCGCTGCTCCCAACTCTAGGCCATTGTCATGAAAGGATCAACACCAGTTCATGCCCACATTTTGGGGCTGGGAGTAGGAGGCCGAGATTCACCCGCCTGGCCCGGGAACGCCGGTCAGCGGAGCCTGGGGAACTTGGGGGGTCACGTACTGGACTCTGGACTTCTCTTCCCAGGGCGCCGGTGGGTTCTCACACGCTCGCCGCACCGCCGCGATCTCAGCTTGCAAGACGCGCTCCTCTGCCAGCTCTGCGTCCATGGCGCGTTGCTCACCCGAGCCTGACAGGCAGCGCCGCTGTCACTCCGACCTGAGCGCTTCACCGGCGCTTCAAGCCTCGCGCGCGCTCCCGGCGCGGACCATCCCGGAGCTCACGCGGAGGGGAGGCGGGAGAGCCCCGCGTGACCCCTGCGGCCCTGTCCGTCCAACTACACGCTCGCCCCAGAGCCTGGGTCCTCGACTTCCCTACACACGTTTCCCTGGCTGTCTAATCAGTGCCTATACTTTCTCGGGAGAGCGTGTTCTTTGCTACTCCAAGCCCAAGTGCTCCGCTGCTCACCCCAGCCGGCAGCCTTGGAGCCGCCCGGCCGCGTGCGTCACTGAAGAGGCAGGGCTGGGATCACGTGGAGGGGAGTGCCTCTTTATTTTTTTTCCCCCTACTTCCTCACTTAGGCCGACCTAGTCCAGGAATTGGTACACACAGCGATAGTGTTCAATAGAAACTAGGGGATTTTGGTTTGGGCTTTTTTGCGGTCGTTGAGGGGGAGGTGACGGAGGCGTCAGGGAAGGTGGGAGGACGGGAAAGGAAATTAAAAGCTCTTGGGAACTGAATTGTGGTAACGGAACCTTAGGAGGCTGGGTTGGAAATCGAGTAGGAAGGAAGAGAGGATGGTCCGTTGGGACATGTGACCAGAAGTTAGGGGCTGCAGCGGCGCTGGCGTTAGGTGAACGACGTGGTGAGGAGTGGGTTTCAAGCATGAGAAGTCACAGGGCCGTTTCCTAGCCTCTCTCTTCACTTCTCTGGGAATTCTCGGAGAAAGAAGGCTGCGGTGGGTAGGCTGGGGGCGGAGACTGTCAGGAAGAGGTAGGCCGGAGCTCTGCCCAGAATATGTGCCATGTGGGGACGCTGGTTGGGAGTCTGGTTTGGAAAGAGTCTCAGCTGTTGGGGAAGGGCAGGGCGAGAGCTGAGCGCCTGCCGGGTGCTAAACGAAATGAGAGATATGATGGGCCCTAGTACCTCTGGAAAAGTTTTCCTGAGTCTCCTGTGATCCAGCAACCTTCATAGTATAGTGTTAAGAATTCCAAGTTCTGAAGTTAGACCTGCATTATAATCCTGGATTCACTAATTTTCGGTATGGCATTGGGAAAGTGACTTAACCTCTTCTGTTCTTCTGAAAAGTGGGAAACGTGCAAACTACTTTGTACAATGCAGGCACGTAGCAAAAACACAAGTCTGTATTCGCTATATCACTTGATCTTTGTGACTGAACCCCACTTTGCAGCACTTTTATTGTGACATAATATTGTGCCATTTGTTTAATTCTTTTGTGACTATGAGGAGCTCCAGGAGCTCCTAGCCTCTGTATTCACTTCTTTGGGTCTTCCCGGAGAAAGAAGGCTGGAGTGAGTAGGTTGGGGGCGAAGACTATTAGGAAGAGATAGACTAGCTCTTTTTATCTTTTAGTGCATTACCTGCTACATCCTGTTTCTATCAGCCTTTGTTACAGACAGTAAATGAATGTATGAATGAATCAAGGAAAAACATCTAAAAACGTGAATACGTAACATTAAGAGGGATAGAGTAATATTATGGCCATTTGGAGGAAAAAAACCTCTGGACCTGTATCTATATAGGTATAGGGTTGCTGTTCCAAAGTACATTCATGAAAAATGTGGATGTAGGGCTTCGGCAAAACCTCCAAGACTAAAATTTGGAAGCAATACAATCGGAAGTGAAATACAGATCCAGGAGACGGATTTGATACAGACGGTTCAGAGGAAGTAGTTGTTTTGTTAGATTTTAGAAGAACTAAGGGAAAGGACTCTTCTCTGTATACAGAAAATTACTTTTCCCACTAGAACACACCAAGTATATGACCAGCCTTCATGAAAGTGAACAGAGAGACGAAGCGCCTTTATGTGGGTGGCCTTAGCCAGAACATTTCTGAGGCAGACCTACAAAATCAGTTCAGCAGATTTGGAGAAGTTTCGGATGTGGAGATCATCACACGGAAAGATGACCAAGGTAAATTTATGGTCCTTCACTGGGTAGTTATAGGCAGACATAACTCAGGTTAAGTACTAGAAAATAAAACGACCCCAAGATAAATGTTAGCTCTGAACACCAAAAGTTTTCAGTGATGTTTTGGAGATACAATGTGTGATGTGGAACTTGACCAGAATTCATTTCTGAAATAAGAAAAAATTCTAAATTCTAAACATCTGATTTCAGAAACATATTAACTTCCAGTTTTGAGAGCTAGAATTTTCTAACATTGATTAAGTGTCCCATTAAGTAGACTATCACTAGCATACAATCAAAATGTTTCCTTAACTGACTACTGTACATTTTCTTCTTATTTTTTGGAATATTTTGATAATCATGCTTATTTTTATGGCCAATAAATAAAAAACCAGGTTTATGCTTGAAAGAATAAGTTTTCAAGAACTAATTTTTTTTTTTAATTTAGAAACAACCATTTTTACATTGCTCTCTGGATAAAAATTTAAATAAATTGTGTTTTGGTTTTTGGTTTTTTTTTTTTTTAGGAAACCCACAGAAAGTCTTTGCATATATCAACATCAGTGTAGCAGAAGCAGACCTGAAAAAATGTAAGATCATCATAAATTTTCTATACTATTTGCCAGTTTGTATCACTCTGTAACTTGGAATACCTTTGGTTCTAAGCCTAAACCTCCACAGCCGTTTTTACGTTATCTAGAGGGACAGCAGTTGATCAAGAGAATTCCAGTATCGTTTGACTCAGCAGGTTTAGGTCCATTGCATTTGGCATCAGCGGACATGGTAGCACTTGCTAGTAAGTTTACTTAAAACTGCTATTCTCAAATATTTTGGACAAGGAATCAAACTTTCATAGAAACTGCCTGTTACATATATCCCACTGAATATCATGCCACATTCCCCTTCAGTCTGATCATTTCTTTTGGAGCTAATCCTTGTCACTAAACACTCTTAAGGAGGGAGCTTTACAATACACCCTTGTAAGACCATATCCTTGAAATTGTGAAATCTCTTGTTGGTAAGTTTAGTAAAGTCAAGGGAAAACAGTGGCCTTCAATGAAGAACGGGAGATAATCCATACTGCCACTGACACAGTAGCATATTCTAGTTATTTGGAGGCCAAAAAGTGAAAAAAGACACAGAAAATAAGTAAAGGGAACATGCTAATAGAGGAAGAGGGCAATCAGTCTTTCGTAATTTCATTTGCAAAAAGATTGCTTTATTCTATTTTTCAGTGAGGAATATATGTGACAAATGTGAAGTTGTGGTTAAGAATACATAACTAGGCTTTGTGACCTGTGGCAGTTATTTAAACTTCTCAGCCCCAGTTTGCTTATGTGATGAATGACAGAAGATAGTGCTTGCCTCATAATATTTCTGTGATAATTAAATTAAATGATACATTTGCAACACTTTAGGAGGCTAAGGCAGGTGGATCATTTGAGGTCAGGAGTTTGAGACCAGCCTGGCCAACATGGTGAAACCCCATCTTTACTAAAAATACAAAAATTAGCTAAGTTTGGTGGCAGGCACCTGTAATCCCAGCTACTTGGGAGGCTGAGGCAGGACAATCACTGGGGAGGCAGAGGTTGCAGTGAGCCAAGATCGTGCCACTGCACTCCAGCCTGGGCGACAGAGGGACACTCGGTCTCAAAAATAAATGATACATTTGTATTTAGTATAGTATCTACCACCTACAAAATTCTGTTAATGGTATTATTAAGGAAGCTGATAGCAGATACTCAGAGAAATCAATTACTAGGGCATAGTAGTTCAAACAGTTCAGTTACTCACAGTTAATTCATCTACAAGTTCTACAGTGATAATTAGTATGAGGTGGTAAATAAAATTAAGGTGCTATAGGATTCCAGAGTGTCCTCTGATTCACCTGAAAAGATGATTGTTTTATAGTTATAGGAAATAACAATAAAATATACATTAAATGTCAGTTATTCAGAGGTTCCTGACATTTGTTTATAAACAAATTGCAAATGAATTTTGCTTTACTTTTTACACGTTTTGCCTCATTCCAATCTAGTAACACTGTGAGATAGGGAGTGTAAAGACTCTTTTGGTAGGTTGTCAACATGAGACAAGAGCCTAGGCTCCCTCTCTCCAGGTCTCATTTCTTTTCTTCCACTTCCCGTGGATCTCTGTGATAAACAAGCCTACTTTTCTTGATACTAAATAATTAGAAAAAGCACAAGCTGAAATATTTTTCATTGCCATGTACTTGAGTAATAATTCTTTACTTTATAGGTATGTCTGTTTTAAATAAAACAAAATGGAAAGGTGGAACATTACAAATTCAACTAGCAAAAGAAAGCTTTTTGCACAGGTAAGTTTTGCTTCACATGGATTTAAACCCTATTTTTTTTAATATTGTAAGTGGTTTTATATATTATTTCAAATTATCAAGTAATATGGTATTATATTCTTAACAAATTCAAACATTATAAGTAGAGCTGAAATCCCTTTGAACTCTGAATCCCTTCACGCCAGACACCAACAAAAAGGATAATTTCGTGCATTTACGTATGTATGTAATAAGCTATAAAAGTATATATGTACTTATTTGCTCTTTGTTAACCCTTTTGTAGCAATGTAGATCTTCTCCCTTTATAACAATTGTTAGTACTATTTCAGAAAATGGTTATACCACAGTGTAGTGGTCCCTTCCCACTGATGACTGTTTCTACTTTTTCATGGTTGTAGATGATCCTAGAGCACGTATCCTATGTATATGCAGGTGTTTCACTAGGTTTATATCAGAAAATGGAGTTGCAGAATCTTAGCATTGTCTGCATTTAAATTTTAGTAGACTTCTGAATTGCTTATGTTGATTTTGACACTATTAACGCTGGTGTCATACAAAAATATAAAGAAAATAGGAGATCACTGTATGACAGGCATAAGAGTGATTATGCAAGTGATTTAAGAACAAGACAATGTATTATAAAAGCCGTTAGAGCTTTTAAAATCCTAAAGGTATTTTCAGGAAGAAAAGGTATTGTTAGTTGGGGAGTTTTCAAAATAGGAAACAATTTAAGAATATGCAGATAGAGGCCGGGCACAGTGGCTTACGCCTGTAATCTCA